GACTAAAACAAATACCTGCAAATAAAGCATGCTTAGCATATCTGCTTAAGCTGTCTCAAGATTCAATTACCAAAGAGACTATAGTTGGTAACTGGGGATGCCAAATCCTCTGAACCATGTAATAGATATAAAAAGAAATAAGTGTCCATGCACTATTTTTCAGGACAAATTGTAGTTGATCATTCTAGAATTCATTCTACAGAGTTACCCATAAACTTCATGCCTATTACACAATTAAAGTCCCACATACTTTGTCAGATCTTTGCTTAAAAAACTCAGTACAAAATATCCTTTTCCCTTTATAGGCATTTACTAGATGAAGCATCACTTACCATATAAACTCCACTGTTTTTTCATATGTCTTATCTACTCATGTATATTCAGCATATATCCTGGGCACAGTTCATCTTAATCTCTGGCACTATTAATGCCAGGAAAATACTTCCTGTACCATGTATATCATTTATCTTCTACCTTAGAAGCAAAAGAAATTCAAAGGAACCAGGTGGTATTCCTAAATTCCAAATTAATGAAACCATTGTTGTGGTTCCTAGTGGCAATATTCCTTTATTTCATGAGTAAATTTTTTGACAGTGTAGGGTTTGAACTCAGGACCTTTCACTTGCTAGGCAGGTGTTCTACACCCTGAGCCACATCCACAGCCTTTTTTTTTATTCATCCTCTTTATAACTAAGAGTTCTAGGCCAGAACAGCTTAAGGTGGCAGAGATAAATCTGCCTGGGCATGCAATGTATTGCCACCTAAGTGGCACAATAAACTGCTCCAAAGTTGACATGTTGAATTGAACCCCCTTTGTACAAGTATTTAAGATAAGGAAGGAAGGAAGGGAGGGAGGGAGGGAGGGAGGGAGGGAGGGAGGAAGGAAGGAAGGAAGGAAGAAAGTCTATACTTTAAAGAAAAACAAAAGACCATAACAGGTACCAGTAGCTCATGCCTATATTCCTAGCTTCTCAAGAGGCTGAGATCTGAGGATTGTGGTTCAAAGCCAGCCCAGGCAGACAAATCTGAGAGAATTTTATCTCCAATTAATTGTTGACTCAATTGCCTCATTAGAAAAAGCTAAGCAAGAACACAAGGCCTGGAATTCATGCCTTAGTTCTTGGTACAAAACAAATAGAAGGTCTTCCCACAACTCCATTATGTCATCTGCTCCAGATACATAAGGGAAGAGTAAGAGCAGTGAATGTCATGAACATAAGCCCATTGCCACCATACATTGTCAAGTAGTTTCTTTCTTGATAATTACCAGTATTGGATGATAAAATCATAATGGATAAGGCATTCAATAAATTATGAATAGCAGTTTTAGCATTGCTTAAAGAGAAGACAAATCCACATTAAGATTTACTCTTTTATTATTTCCTGTGAAGTCATTGAACTGGGGTAGAGCACTAGTCTGTGAGCAAAGGCATCAGGTATAGAGTCTGAGTCCTGGTCTCAGACCTAAAAAACAGTATTCAACCCTGTCAGTCACAAGTTATTGCCTTTGGCTATGCCCTATGTATAATACCCAGCTTCCTGGCCAATACAAATGTCTCCTCAATACTTTCTCCTTCAGTTACCAGATGCCAAAGAGGACCTGACCCTGCCCTGAAAGTCACAGATAAAGAAGTGCTCTTTAAGAAGCTGAGACCTTGCAATACACATGTGTGCTTCAAGGAAGCAAAACCTAAGCAACTTGGTGATCACTTCATTAAGACCATGAATGCTGCTTGTGTGGCTATGCAAAGTTACAGGGTCTATTCAACCAGTTACGCAACTGACTGTGTATATCCAACTGAACAGAGAAAAGATACAAGGGCTATATTTCCGTGGGTACTCTCCAGAACTGATTCCCTGGGGTGGAGTACAAGGAATATGAGTTTGTGAATATGGGGCCTCACCCCTACACTACTTGTACGACACCACATGCTGATCCTCAGTCGTGATGATAAATTTTGAGTTTTCACTATTTTGTCCAGCTTCCAAGCAATGTTTTTTTATGGGGGGAGGGAGGAGTGAGAAGAGCCATTATCAGTCTGAAGGTTTATTATAATAAGAACAAGGCTTTCTTCTTCCACAATAGAAATTAGCCTGCTATATAATCAGCCTGCTGTCAGGTAACTTACTGATCAACCCAAAGAATGATACTATATTGGGATTTTGTGTTAGCCTCTTTGTAGCTGACAGATTAGGGATTCAATAGTGGGTACATCCAGGTCAGCCTTGATGAATGGGAGCTTATGTTGCTGAGTCTTTGATTAACTTCTATGCCTGCCATCATGGCCACTTTGTCCATAACCCTATTGGGTAATGACAGAAATGAGTATGGAAAGAGACTGCTATTTATAGATTAAGTCATCCTAGCCTAAATTATCAGAATCCTTCTCTGATGAGATCATCCTTTTGTAAATAAATATTCTCAGGGAACAAAAAAGACCTCATGGTTTTCACCGATGAAAAGAGATCCATGTTCTCCAGATGTCTTTGTTACCAACTTTTCCTGTCACGTCTTTTCCAAGTTCCTCATTATCCAGCCAAGCCATTAGCCACAACCCATCTGGCCATTCATTTCTCCTTCTAAATAAAGTGAACAACCATGTACATTGCACGTTCTGTCCTCTGGGATCTGGGAGGATTTTTCATCACTGTTCTTCAGAAAAATCCCAGAAAAGAGCTACAATGCTACCTCTGTCCACATTCAGATGGTACCTGTAGCTCATGTATAACCATCTATAAATTAAGCCTCAGGCCTCTCCACTTTTGTCAGCTACATATTCATATGGAAGTCTTCATAAGCCCATAGAAGCAGGCTGGAAGTAAAATGCTTTGACATAATTTCTAAGGTTTGGTAATTTATAAAGAAAGTAAATTTGTCTCTTGCAGTGTTGAAGACTGAAAGAACAAGATTAAGTGGCTGCATCTGTTCAGCCTTCTGTTTGTGTTACAACATGGCAGAGAAATGGAAAAGAAGCAGTCACATGTAGAAGACGTTGAGCATGAGACTTGCCATATCTTTCTGGTGATAGAATGTGTCTATGAAACATATTTTCTGGCTTGATGTATTTCATGATATCAAGTTCAGGTTGAGCTGAAGTTACACATAAACTATGCCCATAGTTAAGCATTCTGTTTTTATCAACGTCCAGTAGTAGACCAAACACTATTTCTCAAAGTAAATTAGTGCTAGGCACTAGTGGTTCATGCCTATAATCCCAGTTACTCAGGAGATTGAGATCTGAGGACCAAGATTCAAAGCCAGCCTAGGAAGACAAATTCAAGACACTCTTATCTATAATCAACCAGCAAAAGGCCAGAAGATGAGGCATGGTTCAATTCATAGAGTGCTATCCTTTAGTGGAAACATCAAGCAAGAATACAAGGCCCAGAGTTAAAGCCCTAGAGTATTATCACACACAAAAAAAATAGTTATAGACTGCTAATAGCAAGACTTCACTCCAAAATCTTGAGTCTATGCTATGATTCATCTTTAATGACTTCTCAGAGGCTCCAGAAAGCATTAATATCTACCAACTGCCACTATGTCTAATCAGTCATATGAGTCAAGTGGCAGCACAGCTTATACAGTAGGCTGGACCTGTTGCAGAGACTTTACTTGCTCTGTGTTCCACGCAATCTACCAAGTTTTCAGCTAACTCAGTAAATATTTCTAATACCATACTCGAATAAGAAATATGCTGTTTCCAAAATCTAATGAAGCTCACTAGATATTGTGCTGTTTTTGTTGTAACAGGAGCAAATTGTAGCAAACTAATCATTCATGTTATATAGGATATCTTGATATTCACCTTCTACAATTTATTTTACTTACTTATTTTTAATTTATTTTTTGTGCTGGTCCTGGGGCTTGAACTCAGACTCTGGGCTTGGTCCCTGAGCTTCTTTTGCTTAAGGCTAGCACTCTACCACTTGAGTCACAGATCACTTTCAGCTTTATCAATGGTTAATTGGAGATAAGTGTCTGACAGACTTTTCTTCCTAGACTACTTCGAACCATGATCCTCAGTTCTCAGCCTCCTGAGGGGTAGCTAGGATTACAGGTGTGAGATACCAGCACCCAGCTATTTTATTTATGTATGTATGTATGTATGTATTTATTCACTCATTCATTATTTTATTTTTTTCTGGAACCAGGGTTTAAACTCTGGGCCTCATGCTAGCTCATCTTGCTTGCTTAGCTGGTATTCTACTTGAGCCACATCTCCAGCCCAGCCTTTTCTTAATTGTCTTGGAGTCTCGCAGACTAGCTAGCTTCAACCCCAAATCTGCTAGATCTCAGCCTCCTTATCAGCTAACATTATAGAGTGACCCACTTTGCCCAGCTCCTCTACAAGCTAACTGAGATAGAAGGTACTTGTAGTTTTTAAGTTACTTTATTGTTTTAGAGGCGGTATACAGTGGGGTTACCTTTTCATATGTCAGATAATGAGTACATTTCCTTCCTTTTGCATAGTATTATCAGTTCCCTCATTCTCTCCCACTCCCTCCCTCCCATCTCCTCCCATTAGTTGCAATGATTCACTTTCAGCAATATCCAGTACAGCAAGTGGGCTCTGCTGCTGCATGTTTTTTTCCCCATTTTCCACTGATTCTGTGCCTTCCCTCAGAAGTGCATGTGTATACACCATATATGAGGTAAAGAATATAGAGTCATCAGAAAACAAAAAGAAAAATTTTAAAAAGTCCTTTGTTTTCTAATCTTTGGAGTTCATTTCAGTAGGTACATTATTTTATATGCATATGAAGAGGCACTTGGGTATTGCAACTTGCTGATTTTCTCCTGAGACTATCCATATTGGTCTCACTGTATCTAGAATCCTGTATAATTTGTCCTAAACAGAATCAACTTAGGGATTTATCTTCCAGAAAACGCATTATGAATTGAGAAAATTCATCTTATGATTCTTCTCTTCTTAGATGATTCTCTGTACCAAAAACCATTATCAGAGTTCCCCACAAATAATACAAGCAATACAGTGTGAATTTTTCATATTTTAATTTTAACTAATTATCTCACATGATTATCAGGGATGAAAAGTCCAAAACCTGGAGGGCAGGCCATCAGTTTGGAATCTCAGGCAAAAGTGATGCTGTAATCTTGTGTTTGAAGTCTGTAGAGCAGGCCTAGTAACTTGACAATCAAGCAAGATTTTGGTGCTACAGCCTTGAAACTAAATTATCTCTTCCTGTAGGAAAACTTGATTTTTGTCCTTAATACTTGTTGATTGGATGAGGTCCGCACTATTTAAAGTAATCTCCTTAAATTCAACTGATTATAAACATTAATCCTAACTACAAAATGTTTTCAGAGGAACATCTATATTAGGGTTTGCCAAAATCTGAGCCCTAAGCCTACCCAAGTTGATATATACAATTAACTATTACCAGCTCGGAAATAAATTTTATAAAAGAGATAAACATTGAAGATTCTTAAAAGTAGCCCAATTGGGTAAATAAGTGATTTTAGCACTTTTGTGGCTCCAAAACAAAAATTCAGCAACAGCAAAACTTGTCTGTGAATGTCAAGATAAGAAATGCCAACGTCTTTGAAACACTCAAGCTGATAAAGGAAACATTCGATAATTATAGCCATCCAGATGATCTGAGAAGCCACCCTAGCATACCTAACAGTTCTAAAGTGGCGTGTCTCTACTGGAAGAAAAGTAATCAGAAAGGCCTCAAGGCTCACACAGCTGAGTAAAAGAGAACTGATGTGGAAATTTGCAGTCAGGAAATTCTCCCTCAAGGTTGATTGGAAAAAAGATGATCTTTCACTACTTATGATACCTTGAGTCATGGCAGAAAAAATGGTGCAGCCAACTAAGATATCTGCCTGAGCTATGTTATTAATAAACACTGAAGTAGACTTTCTTGATACAGAAGGCAAGGTCAGAATCACCATGACATACAGACTGGCAAACAATCCCAGCAGTGTGATGATGATATTTGGAGATGGTAGGATTAGATACTGGATGTATTTGAAGGTCAGGTACCTTCGGAGATCTTTCATGTGGTCTCGATTCATAAAAATACTAAGATGAGCAGGATTCCTGTAGTGAAATAGAAAAGTGATGTAAGGATATATTCAAAATGGCATCTTTAAAGTCACTTAACACTATGGTTTGGTCCACTAGATTTAATATTCTAGCAGGCTAAAATAATACCATTAATATCTTTCCCATGGTTAGACTTGATTTCATGGAAGGTCAAACAGCCATATGAAATTACATCTTACGGGATAGGAAGGTGACTCAGTGATAGAGCGCTTGCCATGCATGCATGAGGCCCTGGGTTCGATTCTTCAGCACCACATAAGCAAAAAAAAAAGTCGGAAATGGCGCTGTGGCTCAAGTGGTAGAGCACTAGCCTTGAGCTGAAGAGCTGAGCGACAGCGCCCAGGTCCAGAGTTCAGGCCCCACGACTAGACCCCCCCCCCAAAAAAAGAAATTACATCTTACTTATGTTGACAATTGATGGTAAAAACAAAAAATATTTCATCAAATTCAATATTTTATCACATAAATTGATGTTTTTTACTCATATTTGTTCTTGCTACTCTTATTATTTGGATTAAAGAACTTGAAGAAATTTTCCTACTTGGATACATGTATGTATCAATATCAGAATAAAGAACTCAAGGCAGATATCTAATAAGGGAACAGTAAGATTCCTATTTATTTATTTATATATACATTGCTAGTACTGGGATTTGAACTCAGGACCTCACAGTTTTGCTTGGCTTTTTCACTCAAGGCTGTCACTCTACAACTTGAGCCACCCCTCTACTTCTGGCATTTTGCTGGTTAATTAGAGATGATGACTTATAGACTTTTCTGCCTGGGCTGGCTTTGAACTCAGACTCCTGAGTAGCTTGAATTACAGGTGTGAGCCACTAGCACCTGAAAAGTTTCTTCTTGGTTAATGCACTACTAAATGAGCTGGAAATTTTCCAATTAAGTTTCTTTGTGTGAAATGAACAGAATGAAATAAAACCTGAAATGTCATTGTTCTCTCTTCCTCTAAGTAGAAGCAGTGGTCCAAACTAATAACCAGTTCTACTACAGCCCCAAATAATTCATATTGGTATTCTTCACATTTGAAAGTATCATGCCTGGAATATTCTCTCTCTTTATCTGAATCCTCCATTATTTCCTGTACTTTAACACCATGGCACACAAGTATAGGGTACAGCTTTGTGTGAGGTAGGTATTTAAGATAAATTTGACATGCTGGGCCTCCTCAAGAGGCAAGTATAAAACACTGATAGCAGAAATTAAATTCTCTCTGTCTCTCTCCTTCCTTTTCCTCAAATTGGAAATGTTGATGTGGCAATAATGAATGCTAAGCTTGATTTCGTGATTTGATATATTAAACAGAACAAATAAAAAGTTAAGTTGATATAAAACTTAGAGAAAGTTGAGAGGAAATTTCTACATCAAAGAAAGCTGCATAAACATCTTATGTCTGTGATAAGTAACTGAAAATTCCAGGTAAGAAGTTTGTTTCTAATAGACAAACTGGTTAAAATAATTGTTGTTTACACAAGAATTATGACTAAACAGGAATGCTTACAGGAGTCACAATTTCAAATGTCTTCAGGGTTCAAAAAAGCAAGTTAAGTGAGTCCCTGTCTGAGGGAAACAAACAATAATCAGCTCCAGCCAAACATTGCCACCAAATGCTATTATCATGCCTTTATTTTCCAAGAGCCAGAAGTCAGACTTTTAGGTGAGATTATTCAAATATTTAACATAGGCAATCATTTCAAAATTTTGGGCTTTTTTGTTTTTATGGCACTTAAGGTTATTTTAATCCTTTACATTGTGGTATATGTATTATTATGCATTTTAGACATCACAAAACTGAAATCTAGATGGATTAAGTAACTTGACTAAAGTCACAACTAAGAAGTGAGGTAAGTGAATCCACATTTACCTAACATTGAAATATTTGTTTTGTGTCCAGTTTCCCAAGAGTCAAGAGGAGCTTACTTTTTGATTCTTTTTGTTCATCTGGAGTCATTGTCAATGCTCAAGGAGTTAAATAAAATCAAACAGCCTTTAAAACCCATTCTCATTATTAAGGTAACGCCAGTAATTTTACTATCTCTAAGGAACTATTGATTCCCATAACACATAGGACTTTATTGACTCTGTTTCCAAATCCTATGTGAAATACCTATACTTTTCCATAAGGCCAAACAAAATTCTAAAATGTTTTTATTTCTCTTATTATGGAAAAACCTTCCATATTTTCCATTCTTTCTTTCTACACAGATTAGCCAACCAAGCTTATATCGGAACTAAGTTGTTAAGCAGCACTATTAAGAAGCTGGGTTGTCAGGAAAACTTACCTGTATCTGCCTTCCTCCCTCCTACACCACTCTTTTCATATACATGGAATAATTACTGGCCAGTAAAAACTCCAATACATGTAAGTATGTGCAAATCAAATAGGAGAGAGAAAAAAGTTTTCCTTTACTTTCCTCTGGTCAATCAATGATGATGACAATTAGTTTGAAATTAACATCTGTTGCTCATCGAGGAAAAATGATGTCAAAATTTTCTCAGGCTGAAATACTGGTACTTGAAAAGTTTTATGGGCATATTCACTATGGTATTGACTATCAAAGTAAGATAAAACTCAACCAGTGAAACTTGAATATAAGGAAAGACACTTGCTGATTGTTTTTATTGCTCTACTGATGATGATTTTAGATAGCCTATTGAATAAAATATTCATTAGGCCATGCAACAGTGGCTCAAACCTATAATCCTGCTACTCTGAGGACTGCAGTTCAAAGCCAGCCCAGACAGGAAAGTCCATAAGACTCTTATCTGCAATTAACCACCAGAAAACCGGAAGTGGCACTGTGGTCCAAAGTTGAAGAGCACTAGCCTTTAGTGAAAAAGCTCAGGGCCAGCACCCAGGCACTGACTTTAAGCCCTACAACCACCAAAAAAATAAATAAAAATTATACATATATATATATATATATATATATATATATATTACACAATGGTAGCCCTGAAGGATATAGCCACAGTTCATTAGCTCTGCAGTATCGTAAGTCAAATCTTAACTGAACCTACTGGTAACACTAGCCCTGTTTTCTAAAGGAATAAGATAGTGGCTATCACCAGAAACTTCTTTACAGACACAGGAGCTATTTAGTAGGACCTATATGGCCAGAATCTGCAATATCTAATTAGGTTGAGGGGAAAGAAAAAAAAAAGATTCATAGACAGTAGAAATTGACAGTCTGCTAGAAATTAGCATGTCCTTCATGGAAACATTTATTAATCACTAACTAATATGTCTCTATCATGAAAGAAAAATCCACAGGGGGTGTGAAGATCATTAATATGTATTCTCTTGCCAAGAGTTTTCTCAAATACCTGCCACAATGGAAACTCACTTGAATTCTATTTTTAACCTCAATTTCTTTAGGTTCCAAAGGCTAGAAACAAGAGGAAATAGTCTCGCTTAGGAGTACAATTGTGATATTGCTTTAAAAAAATCTTTATTGGGGGGGGCATGCAGGGGCATAAAAAACACCAGTGTTGGGCTGGGAAGGTGGCTCAGTGGTAGAGTGCTTGCCTTGCATGCATGGGATCCTGAGTTTGATTCCTCAGCACTACATAAGCAGAAAAAGCTGGAAGTGGCACTATGGCTCAAGTGGTAGAGCGCTAGCTTTGAGCTGAAGGACAGAGCCCAAGGCCAGAGTTCAGGTCCCACAACCTACCAAAAAAAAAAAAAAACACTAGTGTTATAATTTGATCTTAATGTGTGGTGTCAGTCATGGTGAAATGATAACTTCCAGTTAGAAGAACACAAGTTTGTTCTCTGAACAAGCCTTCATTCTTTTGTTATGTTATGCAGTAAACTCTAAGGTCTGCTCAGTTTTCCTCTAAGGACTTATTTCCACACATGGACCATTCTTAGCAGCTTTCCTTAGTGATGGAATATCATGATGGTGAGTCATTATTTAGCTGTCATATATTGCACAAATAAACTTACAGTTTTGAAAAACAAATCTTCACAGAGAAGTTACAGAAGAAAATGAGGTAGTGCATTCAAGACTCTCCCAGGTCATCTTAATGTCACACTGAAGCTCTCAAGGTCATTTTGAAACAAAGTTCTCTATCTTCAATGTCGTCAGTCTGGTCTTTTCAATCTGTTCTTTGCTTAGACCCTACAACTAAAACTTCACCTTGCCTGGAATCCTTCATCATGTTTTCCTTACTCCAAACCTTTACTCACACTAATCTCTCTGCCTACGCCATTCTTCCACATCTGGCAACACTACTCATCCCATCTTTCAGTGTCCATTACAGATGATACTTACATGTAAATGAATCAAACCTTCTCGGCCACCCTCATTTTCCTGAGCCTTTATTGGCACTCACTAGTTTTGATATTATGCTTGGGATATTTGAAAGCAAAGACTATATATTCCTTATTTTTTGTATAATGCTTTCTACAACTGTATCTTATCTCCCACACCAGACATTTTCCCTTGTGTAAGATATATTAGCATTATTTACTGAAAATGAAAAGGTAGAGATTGAATATAAGATTTAAGGAAAATGGTAAAAAAAATTAATCTCAAGAGCTGACTCTCTTATTTCCTTCAATTTCTTACCTATTCACTGCCACCTATCAAGTTAGTGTATTCTATATTTATCTTTACTCTTTTCCTCATGGTGTCAAATATGATGTTTCTCTTCCCCTCATATCCTCTGAAATTCACCTCGGCACCATCTACTTCTCTAGGCCCTTATTCTATCAGACATCCCTCCAACCAATGAGAATGCCCAACTCTCTTACAACCTATAAACTGGAAGAAGAAACTTTGTCTCCCGTGCCCCTTTCTGCTACTTCCCTTCTTCTCTCCTCTTTGAAACCATAAAGCTTGAACATGTTCAACTTCACTATCATCACTTTCTTATCTCCCATGCTCTCCTCAACCTATGCAGTCTCATTTCTTCCCCCAATATTCTAATACTCCTTCCAGTAAACGTAATGTATCTTTCCCACCCTTCTGTTAGTGGACTTTGCTGCATTTGATACCCTGGATATATATAATATATGTACTATATATATATACATATGTATACTTTATATCCTTACAGTGCCACATTATCTGCTTCCTTCATTGATTCCTGGTTATCATTTGCTCCCAAAAATGGTTATCTTCTCTAGCATTCCATCACTTATCCACTTCTATTTTCTACCTATATACATTTGTACACAACTGTTTTCAGGCAGTATCTCCCTTTTTAAACTTCAAAACTGAAGATTCATCTGTTACAGTTCTCTACTTAGAAGGTTTAAAGATAGTCCAGTCTAGATAAATGAGAAATTCACTTCTACCTTCTTCTCATATAGTCAATTTTACTTTGTCCCTTCTAAAATTCTTCCCCTTAGCTCTTCTTTACTTCTACTGTCTTAAATTACAACCTCATCTTTACTTCTACTGTCTTAAAGTAGAACCTCATCATTTTTTTCACCTGGATGATTATGAAAACTCAATCTGCCTTCGAGAAACCAAAGATGCTGCTAGAGTGGTTAAGTAAGTGTACTATTGAGCCAAACTGTCTTGGTTCAAATACTCAATCTATCACTCATTAGCTGTGATATGTTGAAAAAGCTACTAAACTTTTCCATGCCTCCGATTCCCCACAAATGCAGAGGAAATAAGAATAACTTACCATAGGGTTGTGTGAGGATTATGTTAATAAACAAAGAAATCCCTTGGGGCTATGGCTGGCATAGTAAGATCTAAATGAGCTACATGAGACAGTGTGAGCTGTCCTTATCATCAAAACATGATCAGGTAATATGACTGCTAAAAATTCCTCATTGGTTTCCATGACCTAAAAGATGCAATCTAGACTCCTACATGTGGTGCGTTATGATGTGTCCTGTGCCCAACTTCTATTCACCCATCTCTTTAACTCCATCTACCTCAAAATTTACACTCCAATACACAAGAAATTATAGACCTCTATAGAGTTTGTCATGCTTCATTATTTTGTTTTTTAATTTTATTTTATTGTAAAGATGCTGTACAGAGGAGTTAAAGTTACACAAGTAAGGCAATGAGTACATTTCTTGTTGAGCATTGTTACCCCTCCCTTGTTGTTCTCCCACTGTCCCTTCCCTCCCCTACCTCCCTCATTTCTTCCACTCTCCAAAGTTGTAAGGTTCATTTCCAATATACTGTCTTGTAGGTATCATTGTTGCAATGGGTCATCCTGTGTCCTTGTTTCAGAGTTTTGTTTATTCCCTTCCCCTTCCCCAAATGTATATACAAATGTATATACCAGATACACAGTACCAAAATCAAGAACAGTGACAACAGGGGATATACCATAGGGGGAAGAACATACAAACAAAACAAAAAAAATCACACATACTACATTAAAATCAACAACAACAAAGAATGACCTCTTGTGTCCCATATCTTGGGGTTCATTTCACTTTCATCTGGGATTCTTTTTTTTTAATTTTTATTTATTTTTTATTGTGAAAATACTGTACAGAGGGGTTACAATTAGATGGGCAAGATAATGAGTACATTTCTTATCAAGCATTGCAGCCTCCTCCTTTGTTTCCCCTTCCCATCCCTTCCCAGCCTCCCCCCACCCCCCCACCCAATCCTCCCCCCCCCACCAAAGTTGTAAAGTTCGTTTTCAACATGTCATGCTTCATTTTTTGTGTAATTCTGTTTTACGCATTCCCTTCCCCCTTGAAATTCTTTTCTTTCCTAAACTTCACCTGAGTAACTTCTACTCATCCTTTAAAACTCAGCTTACTCTCCAAGGTGATTAGTTTTAGGAGGCTGTAAACATGTGACGTTAAGTTGTAGATTTTAGGGCCTGTACTCACCCAACTTACAAATGAAGGAACAGTCAATTGAGAAGTCAAAATTATAATATAGTTGGGTATGTTTTACATAATAGACTGATTTCTATCTTTGTTAAGTTAATGTAGTCTAAAACTCATTGGCCCCCAGGAAACAATGAATGTCCCTATGTTCGTTCAAGTGTTCATTCAAGTGAACTAGGTCTACTAAATTTCATTCATAATATAATGATAATATAATGACCTAATTTATCATAATTTGTTCCTGAGATCTCTTCCTTGGTAAACCATTCATTTTAGTCCTAGCCTTCTAAAGAAGTAATGCCCACTATTTTGCCTATAAGACTGCTGCTGGGAAGTGGCTATGTGGCTCAAGTGGTAGAGCGCTCGCCTTGAGCTGAAGATCTCAGGGACAGCACTCAGGCCCAGAGTTCAAGCCCCACGACTGACCAAAAAAATTATAGAAAAGGTCAAAAGCTATGTGCATATGACCATATAAGATGATCCTAAGTGAAATGAACCCCAAGATAGGGACACAAGAGGTTTTATCTTTTTGCTATTGTTTCTAATGTATTCATATTATACTATGTGATTTTTGTTTTCTATGTTCTTCCCCCATGGTATAACCCCTGTTGTCATTGTATTTGATTCCAGTGCCCTGCATCTTGTATATACATTTTTCAAATTTGGGGAGAGGAAGGAAAATAACAAAATGCTGAAATAAGGATTCAGGTTGACCCATTGTAACCATGAGATGTACAAGACACTATGTCGAAAATGAACTTTACAACTTGGATGAGGGAGAAGTTAGGGAGGTGGGAGGGAATGGATGGTAGGGAAAAAACAAAAGAGGGGGTAACAATGCTTGATAGGAAATGTACTCATTACCTTACTCATGTAACTGTAACCCCTCTGTACAAAAAGACTGCTTCTGCTGAGTATCAGGAACACTGGCTATCCTGAGAAAAGCTATTTTCAGAGACATCTTTGGGACCACCTTTCACATTATACTACACACATATGGACGCACTCCTCCCATGAATCCTCTGCGCTGCAGATCCCCACAATTCTCTCTTTTGTTACCCCACAGGCTTTAGGGGCAGTCAGTGACTTTCACTGTGAAAGAATACAAACAATTCAAGATACATACAAGAATCCTGAAGAAAAGAAAAAGAATCACAAGGGTGTATAAATCAATACACATGTATGAAGTGCCTATTTTATGAAAGATAGTATATTAGGTGGTAGGCAGTGACAGATGAAAAGACATCAAGGTATTTATAAGTAGAAAAATATGAAGACACTGTGTACAATATGAAGTGAAAGGCAGAAAGACTAATAAATAAAAATAAAGGCAAATAAATGACCAAGGGAAAAAAATCCTTTACTTCTCACTTTGTTCAAAAAGACTAAGGTCAAAAGATCCAGCCAGGTGCTGGTGACTCACACCTGTAATCTTAGCTATCAAGAGGCTGAGAGCTAAGGATCACAGAAGGTAAACCAGGAAAGTCCATAAGACACTTATCTCCAATAAACTACTCTGAAAAGCTGGAAGTGTGGCTGTGGCTCAAGTTGTAGAGTGTTATCCTTGAGCAAAAGAAGCTCAGGACAGTGCCCAGGCCCAGATTTCAAGCTCCAAGACCAGCAAAATAAAGAAAGGAAGAAAGAAAGAGAGAAAGAAAGAAAGAGAGAGAGAGAGAGGAAGGAAGGAAGGAAGGAAAGAAGGAAGAAAGGAAGGAAGGAAGGAAGGAAAAAAGAGTCACCCAGTCCTAGTCAAATCATATCTGATTTACTGTCTAATGACTAAAAAATAAATAAATAAAACGGGTCAACATTCCCTTTTCCCCATTCCACACCCATTATTCACACAGTACTAGGGTTTGAAGTGCACAGGGCTGGCACTCTACCACTTGAGCCACAGCTTTACTTCTGGTTGTTTGCCCCATTAATTAGATATAAGAGTCTCAGACTTCCCTGCTCTGAATGGCTTCAAATCACAGTTCTTAGATCACCATCTTCTAAGTAACTAGGATTACAGGCATGATCCACAGGCACTTGGCCTCTTAGTTTTATGGCAAATCCAGATTGTATGTTCACAATCTAGAAAAAAAAAAAGTGTAACTAGAACCTTCTCTCCAGCACAAAAAGTCAATATGATCATCTTGCTCAAGTCATGACATTTTATGCCTTTGTGTATCAGAAAGGGGATTCCTTCATGAATAATACTTTAGAGGGAACTGGGTAAGAGCAGGAAACATAAGACAGCTGCTGTTCAGAATTCTGTTGCCAACCAGGTCTTCTTATCTGTGCCAGGAATACCACTTCAAAGTCCCTTGCATGAGTAAGCAGTGCCAATGTTGAATCATGCATCACCTCAGTAGGATGTAGAATCCAACAGCTCTTAACCACACAAAAGTAAAACTATGCCCTTTAACTTCAATTAAAATCTGAATAGGTTTGTTACGTTGGTTGTGGCTTTATGTATCTATGTTCAAACACATACATTGTATGCATTAAGTATGTGAATATTTTTATAACTATACCTTAATAACAGTTACAAAGACAGATATAAATAAATTTTACAAAAAGGAGTAGTACCCTGCAATCCAGTCAGGTGAACTAATGATGATGCATCTACACTAGTGACAGTTGTCAAGTTGAATTGTGGATGTTATTAAACACACACAAGAAAATCCACTTATTTTTTATGGAAAGGACAAGCTAATGCTTCCCCTGAAGTCAGACTATCCAAAATAAACTAGAAAGTATTACCAGAGATGGCAGGATTACCTCTACAGTTTTGTTTTCCAGTAGGAAAATACAGCCTCTAATCAACAAGAAGTATGGCATTAAACACAAGAAAAAAGACACAGTATCCTACTCCCAATTAGTTTTGAGTCCAGTTAATAAGAACACAATCAGACACATGTATGTACATATACACATGAAAATCTGCTCACAAGTAATAGTAGGTATTAAGAGATATTTCACAAGCATATTGGGTGCAACAATTTAAAGCAAAAATCCTATCCTCATCTGTTGACAATTCAGTTACATTTTTCTTTCCCAACTAACCTTTTACACATTCCTATAGAGACTCGTTACAGACATGCTTAATGCTTCTAGTTAGATATTTTCAAAATTAGATGTTATACTTACATGATAAAGGAGACTCCAACTAGAGATACTCCCTCAGTGGTCTGTGAGGCTGATTCTCAACAGGGCACACTTCTCTTTATATGTGTTCTTCCCCCTGAAACATTTTGCTGTAAGCCGTAGGAAAGCTATGCAGTCTACACAAGTCTATAATAAATTTATTCAAAGTAGATTTCACAAGAAATATCTGAATCACCAATGCTATTAACTTTTTATGCAATGTGGAAAAGATGATATTTCTTTTTTTTGCTGAATAACTCAGCAACTTCTTATTTTCCCTTTGAAGATGAGGAATGCAGTCTTCATTGGCTTGAACACCACCTAAAAGTTTTGAACAAGTTAGAACTTGGCTGCCTCAAATCCTTTGTGAAAGAAGGCTGGCTACAAGTAAATAAACATACATTCAGGGGTGGAAAATATAACATCATATAAGACCCTTGAAATTACTTGGTGGAACAGACATGTATGTGTGTGCTTTTCATGGCTGCATTGATAATTAACAAGGATTTCAAATGGCCCTTGGCAGTAAGAAGTATTCTCTACCCCGGATAATAAACTGAAATTGAAGTTCAAGGCAGAAACAGAGTCTTGGAGAAGTTATAAAATTCAAAAGTTCTCTGTGTTTTTAAGGCTCCATGCCAAAAGGTGCAGCTTTTTAAATTGCCTTTCAGTTCAGTGTGTGGAGGTGTGTGTGTGTCTGTGACTGTGTATGAGAGAGAGGCAAAAGAAGAAAGAAAAGAAGAAGCAGGGGGAGAATAGGAGAAAGGGAGGAAAAGGGGAAGTGAAAGAGGAAAAAGGAGAGGATAACTAGAGGATAGGGCTAGCATAGCGTTGGGGGGAAATGATGAAATGGGTAACATTGAATCAAGGTGTATTGTACTCACAAACTGACATGTTGAACTGAAACCCCTTTGTACAACTACTTACAGACTATAAAAATATAAATTAAAAATAAAAATAAATAAATAAAAATGAATAAGCTTTCACTGGCCTAAAAAAAGAGTGAAAAAAATTTTTAATGAGAATAGAGTTTATTTTCTTAGTTCTTATCATTAGGTACTCCTCCCTCCCTCCTTCCCTTCCTTCCTTCCTTCCTTCCTTCCTCCCTCCCTCCCTTCCTCCTTCCTTTCCTTCCTTCCTTCTTTCCTTCCTTCTTTTGTTCTTCTATTCTTCCTTTCTTCCTTTCTCCCTTTCTTTTTTTGCCAGTCCTAGGGCTTGGGTGTTGTCCCTAAGCTTCAGAAGAGTGAAAAAAAAATTTTAACAGAGACCACTAACTAGAACAGGTCTTTCCCTAAAACTCACGGATTGTATTTCGGAGGCAAATTTTCAGACTGAAAATTGAAGTAAAAGCAGTTTCCAAATATTCCCAGGCTCCACAATAGAGTTGAAGTAGTAATATCACCTGGTTTCTGTACAGCCCACTAATCTTCATATACAGTTTTTTTAACAACCACCACAACTCTTCCCAGTAAGCTAAATATTCATTTTTCAGATGGTAAAACCAAGGAGCAATGAGAAAGCAGAACTAGTCATTCATGATTATGAATTATCTCCAGTAGGGCAGAGACTGGGTTAAGTATGAGACTCCAAGGTATTGAAAAGAAGGAGCCAGTGCTAGTGGCTCATGCCTGTAATATTAACTACTCAGAAGGCTGAAATCTGAGGATCACAGTTCAAAGCTAGCCAACCAGAAACGTCTGTGCAACTCTTATTTCCAATTCACTTTCAAAAAGCCAAAAGTGGAGCTGTGGCTCCAGTTTTAGAGCACTAGCCTTGAGTGAAAGAATACTTAGGGACAGGTCTCAGACCCTGAGTTCAAGCCCCAAAACCAAAACTGCACCCAAAAAGCACTACTAGTTATGTCATGGAACATGAACATTTTTCAGACAATCTCATTTTTGGCTGAGGTTAGTGTTTGGTAGGCAGTGGGGACATGCCCTGACAATCTAATACCTGCAACACAGCAAGCTTGTACTTAGCTAGGAGTAGCCTCAAACTTCAGGGAAAGGACTGTTGGCAGCTGTTGGCTCACAGTTGATTTGTTTGTCCTTGAAGGTCTGCCATGGGTGAATGATTGATTGGTGACCAGATTCCTGGTCTATGTCAATATTTGAGTACTGACTTTTCTGCTCTTTTTCTGCTCTTTCCTTTATCTGCCAGGGCCAAGTATTCTCAACTTCCCTCCCTGATTAGCAGGACAGAGTTAGCTGCTGGCAGAGAACAGTAGGGGGCTCTCATTTCTATGGAAAGGGTACAAACTGGGAGAGAAAAAAAGAAAATGTTCCAAACTTAACCCTGATAGGTCTGATAAGCCTACAAATATCTCTAGGCTGTGAGTTTTGTTTTGTTTTGTTTTGTTTTGTTTTGTTTTTTGGTCAGTTATGGGGCTTGAACTCTGGGCCTGGGTGCTGTCCCTCAGCTCTTCAGCTCAAGGTGAGGGCTCTACCTCTTGAGCCACAGCACCACTTCCAGTTTTCTAGTGGTTTATTGGAAACAAACCAGACTCTCACAGACTTTCCTGCCCAGGCTGGCTTTGAACCGTGATCCTCAGATCTCAGCCTCCTGAGTAGCTAGGATTATAGGTGTGGCCCACCGGCGCCCAGCTAGGCTGTGATTTTTCTGTTCTCTATTTTTCCATGAGATAATGTAAAAGAATTACAAGGTTTTTTTTTTAAGTTCCTCCAAAATGGAAAGGTGTAGCAGAGGCCCTCAGTGGTTTGGCTAGAATTAAGTCCAAATCCCCCCTTCTCAAAGACTATCCCAGAATGTATAGATATACATTATACATCTCTGTCTCTGTCTGCATCTCTTTCTCTCCTTTCCTCCTTCCCCCTCCCTCCTCCTCCTCCTCCTCTTCCTCCTCTTCTTCCTCTCTCCCTCTTCCTCACTCCCTCCCCCCCTCTCTTCCCCTCCTCTTCCCCCAATTGTCATTTGGCCCTCACCAGGCATCAACATGCTGCATAGAAGTCATTTGCATAAATGTTTCATCTCTCCCCCCTCCCACACACACACGTAGGTTTGAGAGTCCTAGAGTAAAGAACCTTTGCTTTTTTGTAGCTAGCTCTGGGTTTAGTACTTTAGACAAATCAGCTAAACTCTCATCTTGGTGAATTAATGAAATACAAACGTGTTGGCCAGAATTATCAGTTGTTGTTAAAAAGACAATGCTATTATCTCGCCCTGCAATACTTCCTGCAAATCATTAAGCAATAGGTAATTCCCTGACAGAAATCCAAAGGAAACACCATGACTTATGTTAACCTCTAACTGCGCAATTCTCTAACTTAGAAGATCAATCCTACCAGATAGAAAAATCAAATCTCTCTTGCTCCAACTCCCAAGAGGGAGTTCTTTATCCATTATCACTATTATTTATTAGAAGCATACCTTCAAATAATTAAATCAGATAATTTTCCTCAGGGGAGATGGGATGGATTTGTTACCAAGAAATTATCTGATTTAGCCATCCTAAAGGTTTGCTACTAATAAATAATAGTAATAATGGATAAAGAACACTGACTTCTACCCTCAGGCACTTCCTTCTCCTACAATGGACGTAATACAAGTGTAACAAAAGTTTAGAACAAACTCAAGATTGTCTTTTGAATCTTACTGATATTAAGCATATTTTCTATCCTTCCCAGTTTTATACCATATGTAGGCTTGATCAAAATATTGTTTCCATTTAAGTCACCAATGAAAATATTGACTTAGGACAAGGCCTAGAACAGATGTCTCTGACCTTCCACATTAGAAATCTGTGTTTATTGACATAAATCCATTAGAATCAACTCTAATCAATCATAAAACTCATTCTCATCTATACTCTTAATTTCACCAATCAAATGTAACAAACTAGGTAGTGTTTGCCCTATACCTATACTCTTAGGTACAAAATCAACCTTTCCCTGAAATATTTACCAGAAATGCTGAGGGCAAATGACTGGTTGTGGAGTTGGGTAACAGAAGAGAAACAGATAGGGCTTACAAACCTACCAAAATTCCCCAGTGTCCACTTTTCATGGGAAAACTGAGTCACCTCCCTAATCTTGGCAACTTTTAAAATTGAGTTTTTCTTCACAGAGCATAGAATGGTGATTACTAGGGGTGAGAAGATGAGGGAACATAGAGATATGTCAAAGGGTACAAAGTTTATGTAGTATTAGTAAGTATTATGAGATACAGTATGGGAACCATAGTTAATGATATTGTATGCTGTACTTGAAATGTATGAAGAGAGTAGAACTGAAGTGTTATGACAAAAACAGAAGCTATTAAATATTGGCTATACATCATGTATACAAAATAAATACATAAACACAAAAATATGCCTGCCTTAATCAAATCCTCTCTCTCTCTCTCTCTCTCTCTCTCTCTCTCTCTCTCTGTGTGTGTGTGTGTGTGTGTGTGTGTGTGTGTGTGTGCATGTGTGCTGATACTGGGGATTGAATTCAGGGTCTGGAACTCTCTTTTCTTGCTCAAAGCTGCCACTCTACCACTTAAACCACAACTCCACTTCCTGGCTTTTGGATGGTTAATTGGAAATAAGAGTTTCATGGACTTTTCTGCCTAGGCTGCCTTTAAATTGTGGTCCTCAGTAGCTAGGATTACATGCATGAGCTACTAGCACCTGGCTCAAATCCTGATCCTTAGGCCTACCCTCTTCATAGGCTCATATAGAGGACCTAATTTTTTCCTTATGAAAAACACATATTGGGTCCTTCAGATATTCTAATGTTTTAAAACCAGGAAGCTCATGAGAAATGCATTACTACCACTCCCTACATTATCAGATGATGATATTGAGTTCCAGAAAGAGGAAGTCATTTGTTGTAGATGTTACCTCGAATATACATTGAAACTAGAAACACTTCCTGACTGCTGGCTAGCAGTGTCCTCTCCACCATGATTCTCAGCCTCTAAAGAGACTGCACAAAAAATGAGATAATATGCTGCTTTTGTGTCATCTTTTCTGAGTCATCTTATAATTTGTCCTGTTGTGCTTTCTTGGGCTCTAGCCCTTTTTTCCATAGACTGAAATAGAGAGGGGCAAATAGTTTAGATCAGTGATGTGCTTTGTTTGGCATTTGTCTCACCTAGCACAAAGCCCAATGGTTTATTTTTCACATAACTGCTGTCAAACATGCTGTCAGATCCTAAATTTGAATAAGAATAGCTGGAAGTGTGTCTCAGTCATGCTGTGTCTGCCTACCATGCTTCAAGCTCTGAGTTCAAATCCCAGTACTGTGAAAGCTTAGATAAGAATAAGCATTTCTACTTAGCAGAGACAACAGGATGCTGCAAAATTTTAAGTTAGGAACAATTCCACACTTTGTATATTCTTGTAAACAAAAGATTAGCTATTGGAACAATTATCTACCCATAAAGCATATAATGGGCATGTGAGAATATAATTTACCTCAGAGCAAAACATTTGCAAAATTTTGGAGCAGAATTGATATTTTGGATATTTGGATATTAGTCTTTCTATGTAATCCAGGCTGGACTCAAGCGCACAATTATCTTGTCTCAAACTCTCAAGTGCTGTGATTACAGGGGGTGTACTACCTTTCTGGCTTGTAACAATTTTTAAATCCTTAAGATAAATATTATTTCAAGCAACAGCACACCACAGAGCCATAAAAATATTCAAGGTAATGTCTTAACTGAAAATGAAACAGAGCCCAAAGAATATGTATGAACTGTGTGTGGTTGGTTCATCCTTGTAATTCTATTTACTCGGGAGGATACTGAGGATAGAGGTTAGCAGGCAGCCCCAGTAGACAAGTTCCAGAGACAATTAACTAGAAAAAAGCTAAGTGGAGGTGTGGCTCAACTTGTAGAGTGCTAACTGAATTAAAACACCAAGCAAGAGCAAAGAAGCCTTGAGCTCAAACCCCAATAGCAGCACACACACAAAGAAAATATATTCAAAACCAAAGAAGAAAAAAATGAATGAAAAGATATTCCATATTCAAAGATAGGAAGAATAAATATTGTTAAAATGTCCATACTGTCCAGTGTAATATACAGATTTAATGTATCCCCTTCAAAAATCCCTATGACATTCTTCACAGAAGTAGTAAAAACAATCCTAAAATTTATATAGAACTACAAAGGATACTGAATGCATTTTGGATGATTCCATTTGTGATATACGGTCTTATATTCACTTACAATGCTGGTCAGCATAGTAAACAAAATCTCCCAGTCAGCCACACTGATATTTTCAACTTCTCAAGAGTTTATTGGGACTTAGTTCCATGGTAGTTGAATGTGTGTGTGTTTGTGTGTGTGTGTGTGTGTGTGTGTGTGTGTGTGAGAGAGAGAGAGAGAGAGAGAGAGAGAGAGAGAGAGAGAGAGAGAGAGAAATAAAGAGATTGAGAGAGGGAGAGAGGGGAGAGAAGGAAGGAATTACAGAAGGCCCTGACAATGGGATTTCGATTGTCCTAAACTGAATCTTAAATATTGCTTTCAAAGAAAGCTTGTTCAACTAGCTGTGAATTACTCGTGGTAATTTCATTCTGTGTGTCCTGAGTGAGTCAAGAAGATTACATAATCAACACTCTAACTAGCATTTGCATTTGCTTACTCTTTGCCTTCAGTAACTTGTATATCTACATTGTCATTTTCATGACAGCTTTTAGAAAGGCTTATTTTATGCATAACTGAAATTTTTGTTTTCAGTTTGATAAATTCTTCAGAACATGTAAGATCATTCTGTTTAAAACCAACTTGAATTTCTTTGAGACAAGTATACAAAATATTTAAAGCATATTATATATTTTTATTGAGAGATATGAAAAAACTTTAAATCAGACTATAGCTTTCATCTTTCCTCAACTAGAAGAATGAGTGAAAGTTTTGTGTGTGTAGTAGGCTTATAGAAGCTTATCTCACGTCCACTGAAATCCAAAGACCAAGCAAACAAACACAACTTATATCCCAGTTCATCTCAAAATTTAGCAGTCTTCAAGACTTACTTATGGCCGAGCACAGTGACACACACCTTAATCCCAGCACTCCACCAGGCACATGCACATCTGTAACCTAACTACTTAGGAGGCTGAGATCTGAGGACCACAAGTCCAAGATAGCTTGGGTAGGAAAGTCTGTGAGACTCTTATCTCCAATTAACCAGCAAAAAAAGCAGGAAGTAAGGTGTGGCTCAATTGGTAGAGTGCTAACCTTGAGCAAAACATGCTAAGGGCCCAGCCCTGGCCCCAAGTTCAAGCCCCAGTACCAGCACATACATACACATACAAAATCCTACAACTCCAGAAAGTAAAGTGAGATGATCAAAGCTAGCCTAGGCTGTTTAGCAAAAGCCTATTTCAAAAAATCAGGAGGCAAGGGGCGTATGTGGGGGGAAGACTTACACATTGTTTTGGTAGTCTTATCAGTAAACATAACATTGAGTGATCACTTCTGTTTTTATTAGTGTAAATTAATTGTACAAGGAGGTTAATAATAATTCTTCCATAGATGCATACAATTTACCCCTATCAAATGTGCTCCTCTATTATGCTCTCTTAACTCTCAACCTCTTTTTCAAACAGTAGTCAGTTTCTTAATGCTGTCTTCATATATATAGTGTACTTCAATCATGTTCACTCCTCAGTAGGCTCTCTTTTCCCGCTCTCCCTCCTGCTGGTTCCCACAGCCAGACAATCCTTTATTTAAGCTCATGTCCCATTTTATCATTATTATTAATCATTTTAAGTCTAAATTCCACATATGAGAGAAAGCACACATTGATGACTTTTTGAGGTTGTCTTATCTCACTAAATATACCCCAACTAACCATTGTCCCAAATTGAAGTCATTTCTTTGATAGAAGAAACATTATATTACATATGCATATAAGTACATAAGCTCTAGAATCAGAAATCGTAGATTTTGTCCAAGCTATACTGTGTAAACTTTAGTCAAGTTACTGAACTTCTCTGAACTTCAAATTCCTCCTAGATAAAAAAATGGAGATAATAATAATGCTAAAAAAAATTAGGTGCTTTGTTTACAACAGTGCCCAGCATGTAATAAATGCACCATGGATGGTAGCTATTATTTGGTTAGTACAGTAAACTCATACCATCAATTGAGTAAAGAAAATGAATTATATTCTTTATAGGTACATTGTTAACTCTGTAATGATAGGAATACTAGCTGACCCTATTTTGCCTCCTCCTGACTCCATCACTCAAAATCCTAACTCCCAAGAACGATCCAGTCTTAAGGCAAGAATGAAGGTTTTAAATGTTTCCAGCTTATGGTTCCCCCCGCCCCCCGCCCCGCCACACAAACCTCTTCTATAAAAGCTTTCTTCACAAAAACTTACAAAAGCATCTCAATTAGTCAGTTTGAGTATACATATAGAAGATATTTATTAACTCCACAGAAGAAAAAAACTCAGGATTTGAAACAAGACAGCAGTTTGAATCTAGGCTCTAGTGTCTTTGCTTGTGGCTTTGGGCAAGTTGATTCCCAAAATTACTTAACATCTCAGAAATTGGCCCCTTGGTATGAATAATGATAATGAGATCTTCATGCAAGCATTATAGGGTGGGAACAAAATCCCACTTTGGTAAGTTCTTACCTCAAACACTCAGCATGGAAGGATCACTTCACAGATGGTTGTTCTCTCCACCCTCTTTCTCAAGTCCCATCTTCTCCTTTGTCTTGTGGTTTGCTGTGATCTAAAGCACTCAGGAACACACAGACTTGGGGAAAGATATGTAATGAAAGAATATGAGATGAAGGCACAGGATAGAGTGAAGGCTAGGCAGGAAGCAGGCTGAGAATGCACAATGCTCCCCAGGATTGTTGTGGATTCGACTGAAGCACACACAGAGGTAGAAGCTGTCTGTCTGGAGTTGTTTCTTGGACTGAGGAAAGGGTTATATGCACAGATGTCCCTGGCCAAAAGAATCCAAACCCTGCAGGATGAGGCAAAACAGGTGATCTGGGAAAACAGATAACAAGAAGAGGAAGGGAGAAGCTCTGCTGTGGAGTCAGGTAGGCCTAAACCAGAAACTCCGATTGCCACTTACTGAAGAACCTTAGGCAAATTATTGAAATTCTTTGTACCACAGTTTCCTTATCTCTAGAGTAGAGATAATACATCACAGAGTCCTTGTGACTTCTTACCTAGTGGTGAGGACACAGTACTGAGTAAGTGGTCCAGAGTATGGAGGTCCAGTCACTTTTATGCTTTGATTTTGGGGCTGAGGTCTAGTGAACTATTTGCTGGGGCTGGCCTTGAATTGTGATCCTCCTGACCCTGATCTCTCCAGTAACTAGGATTACAAGTGTGAATCATCCATACCTAGCACTCATGTTTATTGATAATAAATTCCCATTGCTCTCCCTAATCTCCAGGTAAAAATTGAGCTGCTTTTGGTCACTACAGGATCAGTTTATTTTCAAGACATTTTGACAAATGGAATTATCCAGAATGTATTCATTTCTGCATGGATTCTTTCATGTAGCATAACTGAGATTCATTTGTGTTGTCGAGTGTATTAATAGTTTATTCCCTTTTTATTACACCATAGTATACTATTGCGGAGCACTTTTACTTGAGGTTCCTATGTCTTGATGTCAGATATATGTAAAAAATCCACAAAGGGTCCTCATTTAATAGCTTTGTTCAGTGACATGTACAGTTTATTTATTAAAGGTGAAAGGTATAGGAGTGAATGATCAAGATGCACCATAAACATAAGTCAATATAGTGAATTGAAACCTCTTTGTGCAACTATTTTTAAATACTTATAGTTATAGCAAAGGATAAAAGCTATGGAGTCACATTGCTTGCCATTTTACTGGTATATTAAAATGCTGCTGATTTTATTTTAATTTTTTGTTTACCATGACCTTAATGAATTCATTTACTAGTTCTAATTGTCCTTTAGTGAAGTTTTGGGTTTTTTCAATATATAGTGACATATCATCTACAAACAGGTACAATTTGACTTCCTCCACTGTTATGTGTATGCCTTTAATTTCTTTGTCTTGTCTGGCTATAACTTTATTACTACATTGAATGAGAGTTATGACAATGTACACCATTGTCTTCTTCCTAAACTTAGAGGAAATAATCTCAGCTTTCTCCCATTCAATGTGATGTTGGCTGTAGCTCTTTGAAATTTTAAAAGGTCTTAATCTGAGATCCATAAACAATGGAGAGGGAGAGGGAGAGGATGAGAGAGAGAGAGAGAGAGAGAGAGAGAGAGAGAGAGAGAGAGAGAGAGAGAGAGAGAAGCAGATAACAAAAACCTTAGGAATATCCACTTTGGTGAATAACCCCACCTAAACAATTTGATGTTATAAGGAAAGAGAAAAATTAGAAACATTCCCTGCTGTTAAAAAGGTTCCAATCAAGTAGAGAGGTTTTCAAAGTGGGGAGAAACTATTAGTAATAATACAAGGGAAAGAGAAAGAAAGGACATAATAGAGGTGCAAGTCAATTGCTGTTGTGGAGAGAAAAAGTAGTCATTCCAACGGTAGGAATCCAAGCTGGCCTTACTGAAGTAATGGGAGTAACATTTTTAATCCTTCAAGAATGAGTAGGGTTTGGATGATTAAACAAAGGAAGAATGTTCCAAGCTTTGGAAATATGTCTGGCTCATAAGATATTTGCAGGAAAAAAGTGAGAAGCATGGAAGGAATGGACTGCCAATGTCCATTCCATGGACATTGACAGTTTATATATGTTTTGTTGAAGTGAATCAGTTGCCTTCAACAGATGTGAAAAATGTAAAGTAAAAGAATTGAAATGAAGTAATATAATTTAAGAAGATTTTCTTTACTTCTGTATTAGCTTCCAATGCTGCCATAACAAAGACAAGCTAGAGTAAAACAACAGAAATATACCTATCATCTGACTTCTTTCTATGTCCTTTCTGCTCTTCTCCCCATCTTAGGTCATAATGGTGCCTTGTATATCTCAAAATACTTAACAGAATAGGTTCTGGACATACTATAAAGAAATGATAACAAGCTGGGTACCAGGGGCTCATGCCTGTAATCTTAACAACTCAGGATGCTGAGATCTGAGCATCACAGTTCAAAGCCAGCCCAGGCAGAAAAGCCCAATAAACTACTCAGAAAAAGCTGGAATAGGGGCTGGGAAGGTGGCTCAGTGGTAGAGTACTTGCCTTGCAAGCATGAGGCCTTGGGTTCGATTCCTCAGTACCACATAAGCAGAAAAAGCCAGAAGTGGTGGTGTGGGTAAAGTGGTAGAGCGCTAGCCTTGAGCTAAAGAGCTGAGGGACAGTGCCCAGGCCCAGAATTCAGGCTCTACGACCAACCAAAAAAAATAAAATCTGGAAGTGACACTGTGGCTTGAGTGGTAGAGTGCTAGCCTTGAACACAAAAAGGCTCAGGGATAGCACCCAGGCCCTGAGTTCAAGCCCCAGGGCCAGCAATAAAAAGGAAAAAAGAAATGATAACAGTTTAAGGTGATAAGTATAGTGATTATTCTAAATTGAACATTACATAATATATGTGTATTAAAACCTCATATTCAGAAATACTAGGTCAATAAAAAATAAAATATATTAATCCAGTGTGTAAAGACAGAAATCTATTGCCTCAGAGTTGTAAAGAGTAGATGTATAAAATCAAGCATTTGAAATGACAGTAAGTCCCTATATGGCCTCTAGGGGAAGATACTTCATTGCTTCTTGCATGTATTCCTGAGTTTGTAATTGCATTACTCTAACCCATCTCCATGTTTGCACAACCATCCTTCCTCTTTGTCCAAATGTTCCTCTTTTTATAAGCATGCCAGTCATATTGGATTTAGGGCTCTTCCTACTCTTGAATGAATCAATTTAACTAATTACATCCATAATGAACCCATTCCTAAATAAGGTCACATTCTGAGGTACTGCTAGAACTTCAACATGTATTTAGGGGTGACATACTTGAACTCATAACCTCTACTGTGTACAGCGTCAATAAACTGTGGCCTTAGAAAACCTAGAAATATCACGGGACAAAACAGAATTCAATGATATTTTCAGAAAATCAAATAAGTTTGGTGATAGATAAAAGCAAGATGCTACAAGAGAAAAAAACACAGTAACAAAGAAACACCCATTTACAAATATAAACACCCTCGTCAGCATTCTCAGTATCAGATTAAGAACAAGTTGAAGATACTGGTGTGGTCACAAGCCTTCCTGTTGATGAAGTAGGGGAGAAAACAGCACTGAGCCATTTGCATCTGTGAGTTCTGAGTGGCCAAAGGCCAGAAAAGGAAATAAAAGGTTAATCTTCACAGGAAGTATAACAGGTACTTATAAATGCTCAGAATTGGTGAGCCAGTAAATTGTGGTTGGGATCCTTCCTGCCCTTTACTCTCAGATCCTCTCTTCTAATGTAAGAATTCACACAGATAAGAAATATAAGCTGAATTCTTAGTATCTTTTTAACTGAATAAGTGTCTGCAATACTACTAATAATGAAGTAATATTCTATTTCTTTCCAGTTTGAGGTTTCCAAAGCCTTTTCACAATAAATTTTTAGTTGCAAAGCAAATATTTAGTAGACTATGACTGTCTCCCAAAACTTTCTCAGAAGTATTTAGGTCTACTCACAGTAATTTTGATTACTCTTATGGAAAGATAATGTACCATTCTAGGAACAATTTGTAAAAGGACAAATAAAAGTTCCAGGCAGGAAATTTGTTTCACATTCAGAAACACACTGGGCCACATGCATGTGTAAGCAATCAAACTGACTAAAGAATGATATACACAAGGGTGGATTCCAATGCTGTAACTCACTTGAACAATTAACTGACAATTTTACCAAAATAGATATCAAAGAAGAGACACTTCTCCAAACAAGTTATGCAATTGGCCAATAAGAACATAAAAACTATTCTTATAGCAGAATGAAGAAAGTAGGATGTAGGGCTGGGAAGGTGGCTCAGTGGTAGAGTGCTTGCCTTGTATGCATGAGGCCCTGGGTTCGATTCCTCAGCACCACATAAGCAAAAAGAAAAAAGCCGGAAGTGGTGCTGTGGCTCAAGTGGTAGAGCTCTAGCCTTGAGCTGAAGAGCTGAGGGACAGCGCCCAGGCCCAGAGTTCAGGCCCCACGACCGGAACCAAAAAAAAAAAAATCAAAGAAAGGAGGATATAGCCATAATCAGTACACATCCTATAAAATTGAGGGGAGAGGTTGGGTTGGGAGGGATGGGGGAAAAATGATGAAAGGGATGACATCAATCAAGATATTTTCACAATAAAAAAGATACATTGTATTTATGAACTGATCTATTGAATGGAAACTACTTTGTACGACTACTTAAAGATAAAATATAATTTTCAAAAAGATCCTCATAATCACTAGTATTAGGAAAATGAAAAACAAAACCACAATAGGGGTCTAGGAAGGTAGCTCAGTGGTAGAGCGCTTGCCTTGCATGCATGAGGCCCTGGGTTCGATTCTTCAGCACCACATAAGCAAAAAGAAAAAAGCCAGAAGTGGCGCAGTGGCTCAAGTGGTAGAGCGCTAGCCTTGAGCTGAAGAGCTGAGGGACAGTGCCTAGGCCCAGAGTTCAGGCCCCATGACCAGACCCAAAAAAAAAAAGAACACAATAGGATATCAGCCCACATCCACTAAGATGTTGCCATGACTTAAGCACTTTTGTCCTCTTAAATTCATCTGATGAATCCTAATCACTAATGCAATACCATTAAGAGATGTG